GACCCCGCCTCACCTTCGGGAACCTCTCCTTGTAGACGTGGTTCATCATCACGATCTCGTTGTCATAAGAGGAGGGGGAGCGCCCGGGGCTGTAGGAGAAAAGCCCATCCTGTCCAGTCCCCCGCCTGTTCGCGGGGACCGGGGTCTCGCGGTGCACAAGCCCCCAGACTCGCTTGGAGTTGGGGGATGGCGGCCCACCTGAGGCTCCTGGAGCGGGGCCGCACGGCTGGGGAGCGGCGGCCGCCATCCTCATCCGTGATGCTCTCGGTGCTGCCGAAGTGTTTGGAGAGGAAGTGGAGCTCGTCCACGGTGGGCTGGTAGGGCAGCTGGTGGAGGCGCTCCTGGGAGGAGCAGGAAGACTGGGGAGGGGCAGAACGAGGGTCAGAGCTACTGCCGGCCCCTCACATCCTGGGACCCTGGCCTGGGATTCCTGGGGTGGATGGACTACTGGCAAGGTTGGTATTAGGGCCTGATTAGGACCAGGATCCTGGATGTCCCAGGGCCCAGGTTGGGACTCCAGGCAACAGAGGGAGGACAGACACGGGTAACAGTAACACAGACATAGATGTGACTAGAGAGAGCCTGTAAACACCGGAGCGTCAAGTCACATCCCTTCTCTGTTCAGAACCCGCCAGGGCTCCCACTTTACTCAGAATGAACACTAAAGTCCCCCCCACACCCCACAAGGTTCTGCACTAACATCTGGCCCTGGCCCTCTGTCATCACCTCTGCCCACTCTCCCCCTCACTTGCTCTATTCCAGCCACAGAGCTATGGCTTTCTTTTTCTCTTCTTTTTTTTCAGAGAGGAAGGGAGAGAGAGAGAGAGAGATCAATAATGAGAGAGAATCAATGATCAGCTGTCTCCTGCACGCTTCACATTGAGCCTGTAACCCAGGCATGTGCCCTGACTGGGAATCTAACCGTAACCTCCTGGTTCATAGGTCGACTGGCTCAACCACTGAGCCGTGCCAGCTGGGCTATGGCTTTCTTGATAAACCTTGAACAAGGCAGACACACTCTTGCCTCCGGGCCTTTGCACTGACTGTTCCCTCTGCCTGGAGCACATCTACTATGGATTAAATGTCACCTCTCAGAGAGGCCTCCTCTGAACACACACCTATCTCTTCCTATGCTTACCCTCTCTTGTTTCTTCTTCTTTTTTTTTTTTTTTTCTGGGAGGAGAGGGGGAAGAGAGGGGGAGGAGATGAGAAAGCTAAAGAGTAACCCTCTCTTGTTTCTTCTTGCTGTATTTATCTCCTGACTTATTACATCTTTATGTAAAAAGCCTTTCTATGACTTTCCCTTACATTTAGAATAAAATTCACCTCCAGGCCCTGGGCAACAGGCCCCAGCAAAATCAGGGTCTCAACCTGCATTACCTCGACTCCTCTACTTATTTATTTGTTACTAGAGGCCCGGTGCACGAATTCGTACATGGGTGGGGTCCCTCTGGGTGGCCTGCAGGGAGCAGGCTGAAACCTACAGTCCAATGCCACCTGCAGCTCCTACCTGCCGCTCCCATTCATCCCAGCCCCACTGTACCTGCTGCAGGCTTGCGCCCAATAAGTCCCAATTGGGAGGGCTCGCCCCTGCGTCTGGCACCCTCCCAAGGGGAGTGGCCTGCGGGATCGGCTGAAACCGGCTCTCCAACATCCCCCGAGGGGTCCCGGATTGCGAGAGGGCACATGCCAGGCTGAGGGACCCCACCAGTGCACCATGGGGCTGGGGAGGGCTCCAGAGTGTGTCCGGCCCATCTTGCTCAGTCCCCTTTGGCCAGACCCCAGCAGCAAGCTAACCTACCAATGGGAGCATCTGCCCCCTGGTGGTCAGTGCACATCATAGCGACTGGTTGGCCAGTTGACTGCCCTTTGGTGGTCAGTGCATGTCATAGCAAGCGGTTGAGCAGCCTTAGCATATCATTAGCATATTATACTTTGATTGGTTGTTCAGTTATTCTGCATCCAGTCTATTTGCATATTACCCTTTTATTATATAGGACTAGAGGCCCGGTGCACAAAAATTTGTGCACTCGGGGCGGGGGAGGG